AACATTCGCCAAAGTACATGATAGTTCTAGAAACGTTGCGTCACAGTAGTCATGTGACTCGATGACGCAACAATATAGACATCATTTCCTGTTAACGAAATACAAGGTAATACAAACATTAGGAAGTGCATAGAAAATCAGCGCTTTGCAGGATTTTTTTACTTTTACAACAAGTAGACTGACTTCTTACAAAATATGAGTTAGAAAGTTGGAATAATTTGTTGCATTTTACAAGTTCCAGAAATATATGAGTTAAAGTCTTAGAATAGATTTTCCTGAAATAGAGATAAGATCGAACTGTTCATCGACGAGAATAAGGCGTTAATTCGCCGCATGTTTGGAGAATACAGCTATTCGCTGGCTGAAAACTATACTCCACCATTCCCAAATCAGTACGAAACTTACGATGGCCACATCCTTCATACCCGATCTGAGAGAGCTGCCACCCCTACATCCGAAAGTACTTCTTCCAATAAGTAAGTTATAGTTTTTAACATACAGTAAGCTATACAGAAACTTTCTGAAGTTCCTCACTGCAAATTTTATGCTATTTATATGTCAGTTAGTGTCATGATAACAAATCCTGAATAGTCGTTTTGTTTGTTGTTGTTTGTTTAGCGCAAAACTATCTGCACTATTTCCATGGATTATTCTACAGTAGGTGTCTGTGACTTGTTAGCGATAAATTCAACGATAAATGAATAGCACGCACTTCACTTGTTTTCAAAATAATATTTATATTCGGAACAAGTTAAACGTATGCACAACAAATTATTCACACTATAGAGATTATAGGCATATCATAAACACTATATGTATAGTTCTCTTCTTTAGTTCTTGTCAAAAGTCCACTTAGGCCTATTCAATTACTTTAGAATTTCAGTTGACAAGCCTAACTATCTTCTTTATTACCATCGCACTAGTATTCTGTGTGTGATTCACTTACAGTTGTGGTGCTAGTTACCGTAATTGTTTGGTCTTCTTTCTTTTAAAGATCCTCTGTTCCTTTTTTCAAAAGTGCACTTAGGCTGGTTCAATTACTTTAGAATTTCGCTTTGACGGAATAAATTATTTTTCTAATCTTCTTTTCTACTGTTAGTCTTACTCTAACTTATTAAACGTTAAGCCTATCACTTAACTGTAGTTAATTTCATGCCGAACCTTTCCTTTTATAACTTTACTTTCTTCTGCTATTATCTGTCTGCTGTTTCCGCTCGTCTCACGCTATTTACGTCTTTATCATTTAATCGTCTGTCCGTCAATGTATTGCATGTGAAGTTCGAATGTCTCAACATCAATTAATTATTAACAAAACTTCCTACAATCGTCTGCTTTTCACTTTTATCATAACAAAAACTGAATAATAATAAATTATTCACTCACAAAAAGAAATTAATCAATAATATCTAAACTAAACAGTCTTTTATATCATGACAATATTTGACTTAATCAGCTTATCCTAACATGAGAATAAAAATTTGTTTTTGTAGAAACGGTTTTCTTTGTTTAAATTATTGTGATGAGGGAATATAAAACGTATACTCTTATATTAGGTGAAGTTACCGTACTATGACCTACTGCGCATATATTCCACATTCCGTGACATACTGTGTATTACCATTTTCAGCTGTTTGAACGATCATTAACCCAATAATGTCGATGGTTAAGAATATACAGTGAAGTTTGACTGGAATAATTCTATCTTTCAAGATCGACTATTATTTGAACTATTAGAAATTTAGTAGAGCGTAGATTAATCCACGTGTTTCCTGAAACACATGTTATTATCATGTCCGTGATTTAATTATTACCTAAGCAGTTGTACTTGTTCTGTCTGGCAGAATTGACGCTTGTGAGTCAGCTGTAGAGATACTAACACCGTACTGGGCTTCGAATAGTGCCGGAAAAATCCGCGCTGTTGTTAACACCCAACACCTTCAACAAGCTATTCAGCAAGAGGTTTGCCAGTAAGTATCATAAGAAACCTAATAAATTGACTGTTTAATTTTTATGTCGTACTTCTATCATTTTAAAAAGTATTCAAGGTAATGATTACCTAATACCCTGAAATAAAACTTGCGATATTATTAATAATGGGTAGGCAAACACCTTTAATCACCTTGCGTTATTTTGTCTTTTGATAATTACCTACTAAATTATACTTAATGGTAATAAGATGAAATATTATTTTATAAATAGAAATACAACACTATTATATATACCATCAAGTTGCACATCTTACAAGTTTCTGTAACCAGACTAAACCTATTAAACTGATATAGCAGGTCCAGGTTTTACAGGTTTCTGTAACTAGATTAGATTAAGACTCGGGTTTTACAGGTTTCTATAACTAGATTAGATTAATACAGAAGATTCAGGTTTTACAGGTTTCTATAACTAGATTAGACGACGACAGAAGATTCAGGTTTTACAGGTTTCTGTAACTAGTTTAGATTAATACAGAAGATTCAGGTTTTACAGGTTCCTGTAACTAGATTAGACGACGACAGAAGATTCAGGTTTTGCAGGTTTCTGTAACTAGTTTAGATTAATAACAGAAGATTCAGGTTTTACAGGTTCCTGTAACTAGATTAGACTAATACTCAGGTTTTACAGGTTTCTATAACTAGATTAGACGACAACAGAAGATTCAGGTTTTACAGGTTCTTGTAACTAGATTAGATTAATACAGAAGATTCAGGTTTTATAGGTTTCAATAATTAGATTAAACTAACTAGACTGATACAGAAGATCCTGGTTTTACAGGTTTCTATCACTAGATTAAACGACGACAGAAGATTCAGGTTTTACAGGTTCCTGTAACTAGATTAGATTAATACAGAAGATCCTGGTTTTACAGGTTTCAATAATTAGGTTAAACTAACTAGACTGATACAGAAGATCCTGGTTTTACAGGTTTCAATAATTAGATTAAACTAACTAGACTGATACAGAAGATCCTGGTTTTACAGGTTTCAATAATT